GTAAAGAAGTAAAAACCTATCACCATAAAATTGTACTACCCCCGTTTGCCGCTCTCCGTTAGAATTATTAAACTTGTTGCGCCGAATTCGCCAGGAACGCTTCCTTGGCCTATTATTGTATCACGTCGTACCTAAATTCGCGATTGCCGCATTATTGTCCACTCGCGGTTGGCTATAAAATTGTAAACGTTTTCATTCTAAGATAACCGAACTGTTTAGGCGACACTTTGGCGGGGTTCTTATCGTTATTGCATCTGGGTATCGAGTAACTCGCGTCTTGCTCCGACACAAAGAAGAAGGACTCCTCGGCCCGTTGGCGAACCGCCCGCTTCTTCACTCTCGTTGAGGCTGTCACACGTTTCGGACGCGTGCTCACAAGTCTCTCCTTAACTATTGTACTTAGAAAATCTTCAAGTTCCATCATCTCGTGACGGTCTCTCATATTCTCATATATCTCCTTTTTTTTCTTTCTGGTTCTTTCTCATTACAATTGTTGCAATCAAGTGTATTCGTGATTTCAACCAATTTCTCGATCTTCTTAATTAATTCGTACAAGAAAAGACAGACTTTCGGAAACCGGAAGTACGATATCGCGAGCGTTCGACGTTGCGTCATCTCAGCTAGGAGGAACACGGGCACGTACAAGGGCTCCTTCTCCCGTTCCGTCGGGCGCCTAAACAGTGATGTTCCAGCCATCCGATCACAGTAAGCCTTTCGATATCCAAGTTAATAAACAATATTTGTTTTCCTCTATGTCGTTCAATGTGTTTCGCAAACCGTGTATTGTTCTCCGTACAGAGGCGCTTTCCTCTTAGTCATATCCATGTTATCAAATAAATTCTATTGAATCCAATAAATTCCACGGGACGTAACAATATATAAAAAAGGGTACACCTCACCGATTTTTTTTTATTTTGAAATATGTTATAAAGGATGAAATTCTGAGTGACTTTTCCTAATACAATTATATGGGGGTCGCTTATAGTTTCTGAGATATTTGATTTTAAAGTTTTATAATTGTACGTTGAAGTATATTTGAAGTAAACAAGCAGTTTTCATTTACTTTAAATATAAGAAACAGTACATATAAGCGGGAGAGGCTCCGCCCGGTATTTCAAATTCGATAATCTTATCAGAGAGAAGAATGAAAGCGGCCACTGGCCGTATTTCGGGGGTACGGCTAGGCGCATTTTAGATACGCCATCTGACCAAAATGCGCCTAAACTACGTCCGCTAGACGCACTTTCGCGGTGATAAAAGTAAAATGCGCCTAGGTTCGTGTCCGTACTACTTCCATGCAATGGATAGTAGGTTAGAAAAAGACAGACGACAGACAATCGTTCCGTCTTTGTCTCACTACTGAGCGGCGCGCGGCAGTAAACACGAGGCGAGGTAACGGCGATCTTATCGCTAAGTGAACATCTCTCCGCTTTTCTTTCATCTTTCACGCTCCAGAGACATCAAAAGACGCGGTAGCGTCTCGTGTCAAGGGAACGTGCGAAGCGAGGAATTATTTTTCACGCACGCGAGGTAGCACATGGGAGACTAGACGAGCGTCGACATATTATCTGTTTCTTTCCCGCTCGTCTAGCTTATTGACTGCGTGAGCCGCGAGATTTTTCTCGCTACTCCTATACCTCGCTCTTTCTCTCTCTCGCTCGTTCTTTCTCTCTCTCGCGCACTTGCTTGCTCTTCCTCTCTTCTCGTGTTCTTACGGCTTGATTAAATATATTAATTACATGACAATATATATATAAATAAATGACACATATATAGTGTATATGTATATAAAGAATATTTAGTATTAATGCCCAAATAAAGAAGAGAGAATTATAATGAGAGACGAAAAGTTAAGGTAATAGAAATCCACTCTTAGCCAATATATACATCTTTTAAAAATGATTTGTTATTAAAGTATATGATAGAATAATTTATTTATGCTAATAAATTTAAATTAAAAATTAAATGAAATGTTATTTGTTTTGTAAAAGATATTTCATTGTTACATTTTTCTTTTCGTAGCAAAAATAAATTTAGTCTAGTAAAAAAAGAAATTAGTTTTATTATCATATTTCAATTACGACTTTATTATTTAATTTTACGAATAGATAACGTGCATATTGTTGCTCAACGGAAACCGCGAGAAAATGGTGATCTCCGTCAAAAAATAAATGCAAACTTTTTAATAATATAATAATTTTTTTACGTAAGTGTTTGTTTTTATAGTATAACCTGTTGAATTTTATTAATTATTAATTCAGCATGTTATAGTATAAAAAATATATTTTAATATAAAAATTAATGTAATATTAATTGTTTGCATTTGCAAGAAATATGGATAGAACAGGATAGGTTGCAATGATACATAGGAAGAAAAAAGATAGATGGATAAATAGATAGATAGATAGATAGATATAAAGATAGATATAGATGGATAAATAGATAGACAGATAGATAGATAGATGGATAGATAGATATAGAGAAATAGATAGATAGATAGTTAGATAGTATAGAAAAAAAGATAAATCGAAATATAATTATCATTATTATTATTATTAATGTTTTCAGTTTCAAGAGAACATTCGCTTAACGTAAGTCTTACTTAGGTCCAGTTTCACGACTTATATTATATTAACCGGAATATATTATACGACTTATATTATATTAACCGGAATATATTATACGATTTATATTATTTTAACCGGAATATAATTCGTTAATATTAGAAGTACCGAGCGGTTATTTCTGATCGTTTCTATTTTTTAGATTAATATCCTGTTTCTTTAAGATTACAAGATTTTTGTTTTGAGGGTTTGTTTAAGGTGATGTTTGTAAAGAATGTATATATATTTCTACATATAAGATTAAAAATATGAAAAATATTGCAGTGAAAGCAAGGAGGTTCCACGGTGCGCACGATATCTCAATAACTATTTGACCAATCGACTTGTAACTTGGCAGTATTATAAAATAGACTTCTCTTTACCGTTTTAACTACAATTAACCAAATTCATTAATAATTAATATTTTTTATTAAACTTTACCGAGAGGCCAGAAATAGACGATTTTTGTTCTAAATGCTACCATTTTATTATTTGTGTTCCGATTGTAGTTCAGACGATAGCTATACTTATAGAAAATAAAAAGCTATTTAAAATAATTGTGAAAAATTAAATCACACACATTTAGAAATTCCTTGGAATCGTCTATTTGCAACCTCTTTGCTTTTACTGCAATATTTTATATATTTTTAACCTTACATACTTGTACAAAAATGTATATATATTCTTTAAACATCATTAAGCAAACTCTCAAAACCCGTAATCTTTTAATCATGTGATCTTTTTCGCTTCCGCAAAAAAAATTAACGAAATATACGTATTTTTTGTCGGGTTGAATAAGACAACTCTTTAAAAGCCTATCTAAACAAAATTATATAATCACATCATTGATACGCACAAGGAAATCAACCAATCATAATCCGTACAAGCGTGCCTTTTATATTAGACATATTTTACATTTAATTAATCTGTTTCCTTCTCTAGAACAAATAATTATCAAAGGTCAAGATAACGTCAAAATTATTTTGACTTAATTTTGACATCATCTTCACTTTTATATAATTATTTGTTCTACTTCAGTTATGCATATGAACAATACGACTATGCAAGTTTGTCTCAATAAGTCTTAAACTCCGGTTAAAATTAATTATGAAACTAAATCTTAGCGTTTTTGAATCATCGGCATCTTTCACGATGTTACGATTATAAATATTATCTATATAACCAATTGTAACCTAACACAATTGTAACCTACACAATGGAACGCTCTTCGATTGAACCGATTGAAATTGCTCATATCAATTATCAATGGCCTCAATCAATATGGCCTTTCATTACATTCTCTAAGTTTCAATTGTTAATTGAACAATTCCTTTCACAAGTCAAAGATTAACATGCTGATTTGAAATATAATGCAAAAAGCTCGAAAATAAATGCGAAGCAGAGAAGAGATTAACAATGAATGATTATTATTTAATATGCAACTTACATTAACATAGAATGTCTAATTGACTTAATGTCTCGAAGCTACTGAATATGAATTTCTGTTTAAATCTCTTCCTTTCTGTAGGAGGTTTTTGGCTGTTTCGGTTACTTTCCTCTACATTTATATTAATGAGTTGAAGCACTTGTTTCTACGAGATGGTTAAAATTCGGTTGACTTTACGAGTGTTCAATCGTGATTATCTGCTGGCTTTGAAACAACAGAAGCGCAATGCTCAACGTTCTCTCCCCTCGGAGAGGTATTCTGACATGAGCAGCGTGGCAATCTATCGGCGACAGTCATCAGTACTCGCGGCGAGCTTTACGACTGCACTTCGTAATCCGTATTCTAACGATTCTCGTTCTTGTGCGAATTTTCAGTGTTTCTTATCTTAGCGAATCAACGAGATTTCACAACACTTATTTTTTTCATATTTCTTTTCCTTAACGCGATTATATATAAACATCGCGTGTGCTTACGCGTGTGTTGAATCGCGTCTATTCTTCTTCTTTTTTTTCTTTTTCTTGTCACGTGTTGTGATTTCTTTTTTTTTCATATTTTTTTTCATACAGTGTATAACACTGTATATATTCTAAATTAATATATAATGTCAAATCAGTTCCGTGCAGTTCGCTATTCAAATACCTGTGTGTATAAAAATTGCAGTAATGGGAAATGTAATGGAAAGCGCCTATTCAGGTTTCCCATGCAAAACGATGCAAGATATCATCAATGAATATACAATGCAGGTAGATCTTTATCTCAGCGAAGAATGACTTGTCGAATTGACGTCCATTTAACTGTAAGTTGCATATTAAATAATAATCATTCATTGTTAATCTCTTCTCTGTTTCGCATTTATTTTCGAGCTTTTCGCATTATGTTTCAAATCAGCATGTTAATATTTGACTTGTGAAAGGAATCGTTAAATTAACAATTGAAACTTAGAGAATGTAATGAAAGGCCATATATCATTGATAATTGATACGAGCAACCATCTAACTGACGTCGTTCCTAGACAGCACGCGATCACAAGAACGTCCGAAAGACATCTAGAGGATGTTTTACGTCTTAAGAACGTCCGAAAGAAATCCGAAGACTTCCAAACGTCTTCCAAACTTCGTAAAGTCTCATATTCCTTGGAGATCTTGTGTTATGTGGCTTTCGATGTCGATCGACGAATCATTCCTCGCAGGGATCTTACTGTTTCATATATTAACGTCCTTTTTTTTTAAAGAAAGGCAGATTCGTATATGTATTCTCTTAAAGTGAATCAGTAAAAATGTTTTTTATTGTATCAGTAAAAGGAATATTTCACCGTTTTTTGCTGTTTCAATTTTGAAATGGTAAAAAAGTTTGATACCTTGTAATTGCAACTGTTCGGCTTATTATCATTCTAATATTACATATTATTTTAACAACGTTGCATTCTAAATCTCAGTACCACAAAATTCTCACAATCCGCGCGATACTCTTTAAAATATAATCAATGCATTTTTTATTGAAACATTATAGTTGTAATAGAAGCTTTTGCTCTAAATATAGCACTGCAAAAAATTTCGCTAAAAGAATCAGTGAATAACAGCGATTGTTCATGTTATTGATGCAGTTTGCAAATACTGACTGTGTCACTGCACACAAATCTCTTTCTTTTGTTCCATTTATATTTTATTATTTCTCATCAGTGGAAGCAAGATTTCACTGAAATTTTATTTCAGATAAAACTTATTTTAGATTTTTTGACAATGGATTGAACGTTGAGGTTTTATATCTTGGCCATCACAATTACTCGATCTAACATCTATGGATTTCTTTGTGTGGGGGGCTAAGCTAAGAAATCGAATCGTGGCTGCTGTGCATCAAATATCATAAGATTAGTGTTTGGCTGCAATACAAGCTGTCAGTAATAGATGCAATGTTTGCATTGCTGCAAAAGGTCAACATTTTGAACAATCTGAATTGAAATTTACTAAGTAAAGCAATAAATAAGTGTAAACAAATTAAAAAAAGAATAAGTGTAAATATTAGATAAACACTTTTTTTGTTTTTTTGTGATTTTCTTCACAAGGAAGTTAAAACGAGCAAATCTGTAAAGGACTTTTATCTTACTTTATCGATCCTCTACACGCTTTTGAAGTTTTGACATTTAATTTCAGGACACCCTGTACAGTACTTGTAATTTTTCAGTAAAAAATTAAGTTGGTTTTTAAAAATAATGTAATAAAACGTTAATAAATACAAAGATTATTGAAATATTTATATAACATTCACCTATAATTCTTTTTCTTATTTTATTAAAGTTATTTCATAATTTCCCAATTGCAATTTTTTTGTCTGAAAATGCTCTAAATATTGAAAAATGTGATTGTTGCTTTGTAGTATGAAAAACTGACAGTTATGATTTCATTATTAAATATTAAATGCTTTATTATTAATTATTAAATATAAAAATAATTGATATAATGATATCCAAAGAAAAAAAAAATCCTAAATTGGAAATGTGTAATATGATATTTAGAACAAATATTATTTTCAAATTATATTCAGACGAAACCATGACTTGATGCTAAATATCTTAGTGCAACCATCATAAAATTCTTCATTTCATGATGCTTACTGCTTACTTATAATACACAATTATTCTGTTGGAATACATATACAAATTTCTTGCTACGGAAGTCAGAAATAAACGCGTATTCGCTTGTTTTTTATTTTTTGTTACAGGAAATACTAGGTTGGAGACATGGTCTCCGAATACCCTTCGAGCTGCGGGATTGTGCGAAGATCATTTTGTTGTGACGTCCTTTAAAAACCCACAAAAAATAAAATTGCGTAGAGATGCTGTACCAATTCCGTACGACAAAGATGCCTCTTCTGCACATAAAGATAATATAGAAATAAGAGAGGTACAAAGGGACGTTGCAGAATTATCTTTACCCAATCACCAAAATATTATATTAGAAAAAGAAGAACTTCAACAGTCTGCAGTACGAACATATGGATCTGGAACTGTACTTTTCGACATTACTGCAGAAGAGGAAGATGTCATGGAATGGATGCATTTGGAACCAGAACCACACACACGTGAGAATGTGAAACGTAAGGAAAAATGCATGCAAAGTAAAGAAAATCCAGATAACAATCCAGATTTAATTATCAAGGTTTTAAGAATAGAAAATCTTAATTTATGAAAAAAAATTAAACGTTTAAATTATCAGTTGCGATATATGACACAAGCGCGTGAAAAATGTAAAAGTCAAAAGTCGGAAAAACAAATATTAAAGAATTTGATAAATAAACAAAAACTTAATCCTGTTGCAAAAAGTATGATACATTTGCAACTGCATATTCCGCGCACACAATATACAGAGTGTAACGAGGCGCAGATGCACCTCGTTACTACCGGCTCGACCGACCACCTGTCGGGCCGAAGAACGGCGCTTTGCGCCACCTTAAGCTATCGAAACGATCGCGCCGCCGCTATCTCGCGCCGCCGCTATCGCGCGCCGCGGCGATCACGCGCTGCCGCTAGCGCGCGCAGCCGCGATCACGCGCCGTCGCCGTGCCTCGCGCCGATAGGCGCGCCGCTCGATCGCCGCCGTATCAATTGTAGCGCGATCAACTATAAAACGACGGCGATCGAGCTTCTAGACACCAGACCGATCCGTACCGCCGATTCAATCTAGACGCTTGTATGCCGAAAAAGAGAATATCCGGACCGTTTCGCTTTGCTTTCCGTATTCTGACTACCCGACCAGCGACTAAGCAAACGGGATTGTGCGTCCGCAGTCTCGATCGAGCGTACTCGATACTTGGCCGTCTCCCGTCTTCCTAGGCTCGTGCGTGCGCGTGCTCAGTCGAGCGTACTCGACAGTCTCTCGCCTTTACCCGCCGCCTTGAGTCAGGGGTTCGTCCGTCGGCGAACTCCGCTGAGCGTACTCAGCCTTTAGGCGATCCGTCTAGCGACCAAGAACCCGGGACGGTGTGTCCGCCGTCTCCACTGAGTGTCCGCAGCACTTGATCGCTTTCCTCCGCGAACGTAGGGAAAAGGGAAGGTGCATACGCCTTCTCTGTCGAGAATCCTCGGCCCCGACGGACGAAATCATTTCGCGTATTCCGCGACTTGCGTGCGTGCGTTCGTCCGAGAGTCGAAATCTCCGGTCCGGTGACCATCTATACGCGAGCGATTGCGAGACGAGTATTGGGCGGTAATTGTCCGAGACGCCCAGCGTCGCGAAGCGAGACCGATCACCGCGCCGTTACCGTCGTTACCGTCTACACGCGTCGCGCAATAGGCCCCGCCTTCCGCGCGGCCTATCCGTCCGTACGCGCGCTTGTACCGCTCACCGCACCGCACCGTACCGTACCGACGCGCCTAATAGACGCGGCCCGCGACAACGCCTTCGGGACCGAACTCTTGTATCTCAGTAAGCATAGAATAAAGCTAAGTTATTTCTATTGCCATTTTCAAGTGTCTCGCTGCTTTACTCCTCCTCGAACCCGGACTCCGACGAGCATTATCCGCGCGAAACGCGTAGCGACGACCGAACCGCGGAGTCCGGCCGTTACAAGAGGAAGAAAATTATTATTATTCAGCGTCAGCATTTTGTCGCTTAAAGAAAACAGGTTGCAATTTTCCCGGACAGCGAACAGTTAGAAGATGGTTAGAAGAGTATGATATAAAACCTGGAATTTTTATTTAAAAAATTAAAAGAAAAAATATCGCAAATACCTCAGGAAGAACGAGTGTGTGCCTTAAAATGGGATGAAATGTATATAAAAAGTTATGAGGAATATTCTTTAAAATTAGATGAAATAGAAAGTCTTGTCGATCTAGGACCTCTAGGTAGAAGAAACGAAAGAGCTAAGTGCGTATTTGTGCTTTGCCTTGATAGTTTGAATGCACATCATCCGTGGCGACAACCTTTAGCGTATTTCCTTGTTGAAATGTTTTAAAATCAAAGGAAATAGTTGAATTAGTGAAGATATGTTTAGACAAATTAAATGAAACAGGTGCTGATGTGCAACTCGTGACATGTGATCAAGGTGTACACAATCAAGCTGCGTTTAGTCAACTCGGTGTTGAAGTACAAACACCATTTTTTATATATAAAAATAAAAACTATTATGCTTCCTTCGACTTCCCGCACATAGTTAAAAGATTAGCTAGTTTCCTAGAACACATGATAAGATATATTGCAACGGGGAAATAATTGCATCATATTCAGATTTTATTAAGATGTGGTGTATCGATAATGCTACAAAAGGAGGCTCAAATTTATTATCCCATATAACAGAGGCACACATTCGTCCAAATAGTTTTGAAGCAATGAACGTGAAAAGAGCGTTTCAATTATTTAGTAATAAATTCGCAGCTGCAATTAAAATAGCCGATGACGAAAAAGAATTAGATTCTAATACATGGAAAGCTACGGCTGATTTTGCTGAATATATGAATAACGTAATAGATACTTGCAATTCTTATAGCCTTAAAGTTAAATTTGGTGAAAAACGGCCATTATCCCAAAAAAATCCTGATATTGAAATACTTTTGACTAATTTTGTGCAGTGGTGTTCAGGATGGTCAAAATTTCCGAATAAAGTATTTCAAGTTCCATGCTTCAAAGGTTTCGTGATTACAACACAAGCTATTTTTACTTTGTATAAGATACTTTCACGTAAATATGATAAGTTTGAACTTGCAACAGGTTTATGTAATCAAGATTCAGTGGAATATTTGTTTTCAAAACTTCGACAACGCGGAAGATTTAATCCTAATCCAACTGCAAGAATGGTACGACTGTCTGTTATTCTTTCTACGGGTTACATTCTGGCAAGCGATAAGGGCAACGTTCAATGTTCTGAAAGTGAGGCTCTTATTAATCAGCCGAATCATCTCATGAAAACGATTGAACATTGCATAAGTGTTAATAATACTGACGCTGTTGTTGTTGATGATGTTGATTCAGAAACAGAATTGTTCGATAAACATGCAGAAATTGTAGAGGAATACGATGATGTAGACATTGAAAATATGAATATAATAAGTAATTATGATGAAAATGCTATTACATTCTTTGCAGGATATGTAGCACGACGATGTATTGAAAAAAATGATTGTAACTATTGTCGTCAAATAATGTTAAAAACACCAATGGAAGACGTAACAGCTAATGAAAAATATATCGAATATCGGGAATATCCTAATGCAGACGAAGATGCGCCGATAGTCACGAAATTAGTTCGACCAACAAATCTTTTTATAAATATCATTAAAACACAGTTAATGACTTTTAATCGTTCGTGGCAACATCATTGGGCATCCACACAACTTCTTGAAAAGATGATAAATGAAGGTATACATGCCACTAATAAAATGCATGCTGAATGGTTTGACATTCATAAAAAGTGTTACAATCATCGTATGCAGGCATTAAAATTTTTAATGACTGTTAAGATATAGTTAAGATATAGTTAGATATAGTTAAGATACTGTTAAGATATAGTTAAGACTGTTAAAATTTTTAATGACTGTTAAGATATATTCCCGCACACGATATAATAACGGTAGTATAAAAGCAATAATATATTCAATAGGAAAATTAAAAATTTATCGAATAAATAAAAAGATTTATAAAGGAAAACTTATAAAGGACAAACATATCAAATAAAATAAAATACGTTTTAATAAAATAAAGAAAATAAGTAACATAGAACGTATAAAATTGTACAAAGAAGCACAAATGTTCAAATTTCGCGAACGTATTCATAATTACGAAAACT